TGAAAACACCTCATTATTTGATTTGATTTTCATGAGCTGTCTTGGTCAGTTACTTTTACCATTGATTTATTGGTAAAGAAAATTGTATTAGGTGATTTACTGAGTATCATCCAACTTGGTATTTGATGGAACTGGGATTAGAACACAGGTCTCATGAAAATAGTGATCAGATTTCTTATAGTTCCCTTTATATTTATTTATTTTTAAAGCTTTTATTGTGAACTGAGTGATAGTTTACATGGGAGAACATCGGCTTTACACCAGCGTTTCATTGCAATGATTACAATCTCCTCTGTGCATCATCATTCAATAGTATTTGCTTCTATTCCCTTTGCTTTTTGTTTTTGTTTTTTAGTGGTGGTGGGGGGGAGATGTGCACAAAAACACTCAAGAATATATAATAATTTAAACAATCAAAAGGCACATTCTGCAAGCCTGCCTCCTGACTGCTAGCACCCAGCCTCTCTCTTTCCATGAGTCTAGAGTCCTCAGCTGCTCCTTTCTTTGCATGTCTTCATCTCTGCCTCCATCTCTAGTGTTGTCGCTTCTCTGGATACAGTCCCGCATTCCACCTGTGCTGTTTTCCCTTGATGGTCCTAAGGTTTGCTGCTTCTGCACTGTAAGATTAACTACTCTCTGTTTTTGTTACAAAACCTCTACCTTCACAGTTTGTGACAGTCACAATTAATCATTGTAACAATTACTCGCTATTGAATCACAAGAATGCTATCCCCATCTCCTTTCACCAGACCCATCTAGAAAAGATGAAAATTAGTCAGTGGGGACTCTACCCTCCCCCACACACTCTTAAACTAAACTCCCTCTTGAAATCTTGTAAGCCAGTCACTTTGTGCCTCTATCACCCCTCATCTTAGGTAGCCAATGTTTAAGTTGTCTATCCCTATCTACCTTGCATACAGAGGGGATAGGATTGATACTTGATGTGAAGACTCCTTCCCTCTCTGTTGGTATTTAGACTTACTACCTTCAAGAGTATAGGTCAAGTTCATCAAATTGTAGCATTTTACCATCGCTTCCTTTATCAAAAATTGTTTCGTTCTTTTTTTTTTTATCTTCATCTAGTAGAGGTTTGATTATCAAGTCATTGAGGCTAGGTCAAATGGGTACTGTCTGCAACTTTGGGTGCTCTTGTGTGTCTCCCCTCACTTCATATCAGCTGATGCTTCACTCTCAGCTCTAGCCCTCCATGGCTATGTCCTTGTCTGTGGGTTCAGGTGTCCCCAGGTCTCACCACACTGTAGACCAACCAGCTCTTCCTCTTCTCTCTCTCATCTCCAGGTCAACAGAGTCTATGAAGCATGGTTGAACTCAGCCCATTTCTTCATTGCTTCCTTTCCCCCTCTTCCACTCACTAGTAGACCAATGTGGTTGCCAGCAAGCTTACATGCCTGCTTATGTGTTCCCTTTGAGTTTCAGTCTTGGAGGAGGGGGATTTGTCCCAAAGGGACTTACTTGATTACTTGCCTTGATGTCTTTAAGTTTATTTTTAATGTGATTTTGTTATTTCAAAAATAAATACATTTTATATTTGAGACTCAAATGTGAGATTCTAAATAGAATAAGGGTTTGGATAAAAAAGAAATGTGTCAATGAAATGGAGAAGAACATTTCCACTCAAGTACAAAGGAAGTTGGGGAACATAAAGAAAACAGAAAGAGACCATAGAGAGCCAGTCCAAGGTTGTCACTTCTACAGAAAACAATCCTGAAGTAATGGCTGCTAAGTGAAAGAGAAAATAACACTTTCTGGCCAAGTCCTCCAATATGGAAAAATTGTTTTATGGAATTCCTGGATCATGTAAACGATTAATGCTCTCATCTGCTAACTGAAAGGTTAGTGGTTTGCGTCTATTCAGAGGTACCACAGAAGAAAGGTCTGGTGATCTGCTCTGGCCATTGAAAACTCTGTAGAGCCTAGCTCTGCTCTGACACAAGCAGAGTCACCATAAACTGGAGTAAATTCCATGGTAACTATTTTGTCTTGTTTGTTTGTTATAGATCCAAAATGTAAAAGAAGGAGTGAGTGAGACAATGTTTGTATATATATGCATCTATCTATCTGGAGTCCTGGTGTGGCTCTGTGGGTTAATGCACTAGACTGCAAAGTCGTTTGAACCACAAAATTGTCAGTTCAAACTCACCAGCCGCTCCTCGGAAACCCTATACAGGTCGCCATGATTTGGAACCAACTTGAGTGTACTTAACAACAATCTGTCTCTCAAATCTCTCTAGTCTCCCTGACTCCCTAGTCTCTCTCTCTGTCTAAGAGAGTCCTAGTGTGATGCTGTAGCATAAGCACTACACTGGTAACCAAAGGTTGGAGGTTCAAACCCACCAGCGGCTCCTTGGAAACCCTATATTCATATATTCATAGAGTTGCTATGAGTTAGAATGGACTTGACAGCACTTAACAACCACATATATAAATATATATGTATGTATGTATGCATGCATATACTTACCAGGACACCATTCTCTTTCTCTCGCTCTTTCTTTCTCTATATATTTGTATTTGTATATATATTGACGATCTTGTTATCTGACATTTCAACATTAGAACTTTATGGCAATAGTAAAACACCTATCTGATGATTTTGTGTATTAATAGTATACATTTGGCAGTAAGGAACTCCAGGGTGTGAGGCAAGAGTAACACTGGCTGTGATGGTTAAGTTTACATGTCAATTTGTCTGGGCCGTAATTCTCAGTGGTTTGGTAGTTATGCAGTGATGCAGTTTAGCAGCTTTGTAATGTAGTCATCTTCCATTTTGAGAGCTGATATAGTCACCCACTGTTTTTGCATAATGCTGATTTTTTGCATAATGATCTGGCCATTGGAAGCTAACCTGTCACTAAGTCAGGTATGGTCACATACACAGGCGCAAACACATACCAGTATAAGTGAAAAATATTGCTATAGAATTAGTGCCATAGAGTGGATTCTGACCCTTAGCGACCCTGTATAGGGTTTCCGAGGAGCAGATGGTGAGCTTGAACCACCAACCCTGCAGTTCAAACGGCTTTG